ACCATCCTGATCACCGGTCCCTAGGCACCCTGCTTCTCTGCTTTTCTGTTTCAGATTACATCGTCCCAGTTTGGAAGCCTAATCCGACTGGAGCACGGCCCGCAGCCACGATGCGCCGTAGCGAAACCCACATGAAAATCCAGCTTAGGGTATTTCTCCCTCAGAGAACGAAAGGGGAGGAGGTTGCGCAGAGGTCTCTTTTGCCAGGAGGATCTCTTGGAATAGGTGCTGGACTGAGCCACTCTTAATAGAGAAAGGTTCCTCCCGAAGCGGCCCGAGCTCATGTCCCAGCCACGCATCTGAACTCGCCTGCTGTGTTCACAGCCTGCAGCAGAATACCCTGGAAAGGTTGCTCTGCAACAGAGTGAAAGAAGCCCTTCACTCTCCCCTTAAAGTGCCGCCAACAGATTCTATTTTCACTGCAGGGAGCAGAAAGCTCACCTGGCGGGCTCAACACCAGCCTCACCAGAATATCGATATGGTCTGTTTTAAGTACGTTTACGCACACTCTGTGTCACTACAGTCTGTCAAAGCATAAAGTTTACACAGTGCTTGTATGGATATGCACACGGATTTAGAGAAACGTAAACACATCTAAAGCCAAGAACAGGACACACAGAAGATGAAGTGGCAAAATGTGCTTTTGCACATTTGTATATCTAAAGTGTGCAAAATTGTGTTTTAAATATTCCACAGAATGAAAATTGACACAGTTGATGGTTAGGTCTTCTAAAAAACATACAAAAAGCTCATCTGAAAACAAGTTTTTACGCAACTGGGGTTTTTTCCCCATCGAGTTTTGACCGTAATAAGCAACTGTGGCGATGTTTTCAGTTGTCACCTTGCAGGGTGACTTTGTGGATGCCTGGATTTCCTGATGTTTACAGAACGCCTAGGCTGAGAGAGCAAGCGCATCAAAAATCCAGGCAGATGTAGCACAGAGCAGCTGCAGCCTGGGTCACAAGCAAGCAGATCCTCTGCCAAGCCCTGCATTAGGGTTAGCTCCCGCCAGGAACACAGGCAAACCCTCCCGGCCTCCAACGGGACACGTTCTAGCCAGAGACTCCTTCACAGCCAGCTTTTCCACCGCCACTGTGAGGAGGATCAAGACCAACAGTGCAAACCAGCTTAGATCCAGACAGATCTGGTAATCTAGTGAGAGTAGGCTCGATTCACTAGTGTATCTGCTTAGACACTTCCTCAGCGTAGCATTTAACTACTTGTTCAAGCACTGACAGCCAATTGGTTTTTTAGAATAGGAAACTTAAAAATACTCCCAAGTGCTGTTCCAAGCACTACTCGAACTAAACACACACAGGAAGGCTAATCACGTAGTGAAACGCTGTGATGAATCAGCACAGACCCAACGTGCACTTTTAATCTGCAGAGTCTGCATCGTATCAACAGCCTTACATTCATTTCCACCTGTTTTTCTAACACTGACTTCTTTCCAAATTTTCACTGAAAACAGAAGAATTCTCACACCTGAATTCAGAATTCAATGAGAATTATCAAGTGAAGGACGTAAGGATAAGGGCAATGGAAGCCTACATTATTTTGACTTGTGCTTTTCAACTTCTTCATCATGGAAGGCCAACTTATAAAGTTGAGCATGTGAAAGTTTGCACGTAAGCAACAGTGACCCATTTGCAGGCATAGGGGAGGACACGTCTAACCATGTATTTAAACAAACTGTCAACAATTAGTTTGCAAGGTTGCTGAGAGAAAGAGCTGGACTTTTCAACGTAATTTTGATATGAATTTGACAGGAGGCGAGAATCTCAAAGCTCTCCCCTGCATCAGAGGACGTTTTGCCACTAACCAATGCCACCAAGAGAGGCACAAATGCCTGATGCGCACCCTGTCGCATAAGCGTAGCATTTATAGACATATTCCTTATTCCCATGGGGGAAACAGAACAAGGTTTTAAGTGTAAAATTCCTCTAATAAATAATACACTGTCAAAGCCCATACCACAAGTCGGCGTAGAGCAGGGAACACAGAAGGAATGATTTGCTATCAGGAGCGTACTGAAATGCATACGGATGCTTTGACACGGCAATGTATTTTGAAGTGTCACCTATTCCTGAAATCTTGCCTGCATGTCACCTTAAGGGATGGCCATGGAAGAGTAAGTTTCCTGAATAAGAAGGGCGTATCTGTAAGAGCTAACAAAGCCTTCCCGATCACAACAGTAGTAGGCACCACTGAAAGTATTATTTAAATATACTCTATAGATTTCTTCCATCAATACAGAATCATAAAGGTTGAAGAAGGTTAAGCAAAAAAATAGTTACTATCAGGGTGACCAAATCTACTAACATTAACCCCTTAAGTGCCTGAAAAAACTGTTCACAATAGGCAAATATCTGCAAAGCACCATAAAACGATATGTCGTATTTACTTTTCAGAGTGAGCCGATGCGCAATACAGAAAACACTTTCACTTTTTGGATATACATTAGTTAATCAGTGAAAGAATACTTAAAACTATGTTTCCTTCATGCCCAAAACACTTCTAGGAAATTTACTTCCTACTATTTTTCTCAGCAAGAGCAACAGCAAATCACCATCATCCTTTCCAGTTCAATACTGTGAAGTGATGTGTGTAAAACCTCAAAGTTTCTGAAGAGGAGGCTGAATTGGGCTTGTTCAGCCTGGAGAAGAGAAGGCGCCGGGGAGACCTTATTGCAGCCTTCCAGTGCCTGAAGGGGCTACAAGGAAGCTGGGGGGGACTTTTTACAAGGGCCTGTAGTGACAGGACAAGGGGTAACGGGATTAAATTGAAAGTGGGGAGGTTTAGATTAGATATCAGGAAGAAGTTCTTCCCGGAGAGGGTGGTGAGGCACTGAACAGGTTGCCCAGGGAAGCTGTGGATGCCCCATCCCTGGAAGTGTTCAAGGCCAGGCTGGATGAGGCTTTGAGCAACCTGGTCTAGTGGAAGGTGTCCCTGCCCATGGCAGGGGGGTTGGAACTAGATGGTCTTTCAGGTCCCTTCCAACCCAAACCATTCTGTGATTCTACGAAAGCATCGGGGCTGGCTCTCCTCTTGACTTCCTGACCCAATGGATACAGAGGATCCAGTGCGCTAGCAAGGCAGAAAACTAGCACAGCAGAGGGAAAGCGACACCACCAACAAAACCCCGGGTTGACTCAAATCAGAGCACTGAAACAAAACACCTCTCCCCATAGTCCTCAGGATAATTCGTTTGTATGAAGAGCAGATTTTGGTTCAAAGAACTTGTATATTCAGCAATGACATTCCAAGGGTAAATTCTAGGATACTACACTTAAAGCCAAATACTGTGCAGCACCAATGGTCTTCATTTTCTTGTGTGGCCATTGTTTAAGGGGTTCAAATCACGAAGAAGAAAGCAATTGTATTGCGCGCGGACACCAGTCATGTCCCGTTCTGAAACCCACACCTTGCCCCCCTGTGCCCACCTAAAGCATCTCCAGCATATTCTGTTAGCTGTTTTAACTGCCCCAGACGCACAGGTTCTGGACACAGTGTACCTGTGAATTCCCGCTCACTGCAGTACCAGTCTCCACTACCCGAAACTGCTGCTCTTTCGGGAGCGCTTACAACTGGTTTCCCATTTCGTGACGAAGAACCAGTAAGGCTCCGTCGCGCACAGGGGCACGCGTGCCAAAGCAAGAACACAAGAGTGCCAGGACATCAATGGGAAAAGCGGCACATTAGCTGTTGCACTGGCATCCCAAAGTGCTTGGTCGGGTGGATATGCAGACCACACCAACGAGAGGGATTTAAGTTCAACAGCAACAAATGCTGAAAGAATCAACCCTAATTCTACTCACCCACCCAGAAACGTGCAATTCTGATTCGTTATTTTATGTAAGCATCCCTTCAAGAACAGAAAGTGGAAAAATGCCTTTCCTGGTTCTGTATCTAGCAAGGATAATCAAAGAAGCCAGTGTGCCCTTATGAAGAACAGAAAAAACACAATGCCATGTCCAAAAGGCATAGGACAACCCCCACCCCACGTAAGGGGACATCTACTGGGGTCAGCAAAGTAAGGATTCAGAAGTCAGACTATTTCACCTTACTACAGCTGTTACTGAAACAACGAACATCCCTGCTCACCCCAACACTCGTCTACTCTCGTTCCATATTTAGTTCCCCCTGTCTAACTGTGTAGGTTAATTAGCGCTAGCCTACGTACAGGGAAAAGGTTTGTTATCCTCCTGGAGTTCTAGGCAAGGAGCCAGCAGCCAGCCAGAACTGTCACCTCAAGGAAACAACTCTGACCTGGCTTAGGAGCTCCTTTGGAGGGCAAGCCAGAAGTACGGAGCCTGGTTTTGCACGGTAGTATCCCCAGAGCTGAGGGCCATGACTGCACTTCTGCTCCTAAGAATATTCACCCCACTAGTGCCAGATATTTGATGAAAAACGGAAGGTTCAAAATGTTATGACAAAGTTTGTCTCATCCGTTTGCAGGTTATTAATCGACAAGCTGCATTATTTTTCTCTGGTAGTATTTTGTGCCAGTTTTAAAGCTAAAAAAACCCCATGTGGATAAACAGTTTGTGTTTACTTAAAAGAATTTATATGAAAATATGGAATATAAGCAATTAAAATGTAGCCCTTTAACAGCAGTAATCTAGCAGGGATTATCATCACAATAAATGGCCTGGAACAGGTATAACCGCTGCAGCATCCCCTCGACATGCTTCCATAATTCAGTGAGTCAGATACTCCGAAGGATTCCTCCGTTTTCGTTACGCTACCCGCAAACCTGACATGAGCTTTGCATCTGAAACTCTAAAGAAAAAGGCTTTTCTTCAAATTCATATACTTCTTTGGAAAAAGGGCCACTCATTACCAAGCCTACCGAAACTGGTCATGATGGTAATTTCACGTTTGACTACCTGTGCACTGGAGCTCAAGGTAATTTTGCTACTTTATGCTGAAAGCATCACCGACTCACTACTGTATGCCTGAAAATTCAAAACAACTTGAACTATTAAAAATCATGTTTTGTAACGCAGTTCTATTTTAGAACAAGTGTTTCTGGTATTTAAGGGTATAAATGCACTTTCACTGAAATCCCACTGCTTGCACATTGTCTTCCGTGTCCCACGGCTGCCTTTCCTTCTCCAGCTGCAAAGCCCACTTGGCAGTGTTGCATTGGTTTTCAAAGTAAAAGAAACCCAGGTTAGAGCTATCACGCCCTGGGAAAGGTCATCCATCAGGTGCTTTATTTTTTTCCAATCCATTCGAAGGGCTACGTGTAATTATACTCTTCATCAGAGCAACCTAACTCTAATTTGGCATCAGTAACGTTTACAGTTCTGAAACGTACTGTCATAGTCAGAGATACTTTAAGAAAACCCTCCAAATACTGAGATGCTTATTGCAATTCCCTTTTAAAGATGCAAAAGCCTTCTAACGGCTTCGCATTTCCTATTTTTGTCTTCTTTACAGCATACAGCATTAAATATTTGCCATATGCTTTTCCACATCCAACTTGAAAATGCCCACTTAGAAACGGTATTTCAGTAAATAGAGGGTTTAAGGCAAGTGATTCATTTTGGAAAAATTCATTTCCATTCGTTAAGCCTAGATGGACGCAATTTGATTCCACCCCATCAGTGCCTTGGGATACACAACGTACATTCGGCAAAGGGCACACAGATGACCCTGTGGACATACGTTGCAAGTCCTGAGTGCCCATTGAAATAATGGTCGTCTCTTTGTATAAGGCGTGACCCACAGGGACATGGCATGGGAGGGGTTAATTTGTTTTGTTTCCAGTCTTGCTATTGTATGTGATTTTCCTAGGTAACGCATTCTTTTCTTACTAAACATCTTTGCAAACAAATACAAACCCCTTTAAAAGGTGCTAAAAATGGGTTTCTGAAAACATACAAAATATATTCATCATAGTTATTTCCTCAATCACTGTTTTAATGTTTGATATCTGCAGGTTATTTCTTGTTTCTGACCAAAACTATTATTTGTTGTGGAAAAACTGTTCTTTTGCAAAAGATTTTCTTCTTCTAGTTTTTTGGACCATGAGGGCTGGACGCTTTCAGGCTTTTTACTTCCTTTTTGAGTTCTTTTCAGTGGAAATACCAACAACACCAGGATGCTGGCAATATGAAGACAGAAATAGCAGGAGCTAAAAAACAAACACAGATAACAGTAATTCAGTAACAGAAGGATGATTAAGGAATAAACTGTCAAAACCTACTTGCGTACAGTATTTTGCTCGTAAGACAGGGAGACATGAATATTTCCTTTAAGAAACGTAAAGAGGGGGAAATCAGAAATCATAGCATCATAGGAGCCTTCCCTCAGTACTCAGTGCTGTAGGAGAGATGTAAAGTGAGGAGGAGTCTGCTTTCAAGTATTTTTCACAAGTCATCACATAGTCTCACTATAAAACAGTTCAGGTGCGTATCAGTAACCTCAAAGGCACCCTTCTGGTTTGGTTTTTGGTTGGGGTTTTTTCTTCCCCGCTCCAGGAAAATAAGCCTACCACGGCAGGACAACAAGAGCACTCTGTGGGTTCTCATACGCAACACACACTATGCTCAAGCAGTGGAACAGAAATACAGTTTGCCCAGCTAACAGATCAATCTTTTAATTAGCAGTAAAACAGCTCTAGAAATCTTATGCAGCAGAAAATACTTCTATTCAGAGTTAAAAAGAAAGGAAACAGGTAGAATATGCTTACCTGTAAAAGGTGAAAGAGGGTTTCACAGAGAGCAGTACAAATGGCACGACTGTGTAACTTATTGCTAATTGAGTTGCCATCCATGTTAGGATATCATAACACAGTTTAACAGCAGGAGAGTCAACAAAATAGTGTCTGATATTGTTTCTGATCTGAAAAAGCAGATAATAGTAAGTTAGCTTAGGAAGATGCTCTGAGAGCTATCTTGCTGTACAGAGCTTGAACACTTCCAGGGATGGGGCATCCACAGCTTCTCTGGGCAACCTGTGCCAGTGCCTCACCACCCTCTCCGGGAAGAACTTCTTCCTGATATCTAATCTAAATCTCCTCACTTTCAATTCAAACCCGCTACCCCTTGTCCTGTCACTACAGGCCCTTGTAAAAAGTCCCCCCCAGCTTCCTTGTAGCCCCTTCAGGTACTGGAAGGCTGCAATAAGGTCTCCCTGGAGCCTTCTCTTCTCCAGGCTGGACAAGCCCAACTCTCACAGCCTTTCATCATAGGAGAGGCTGAGTTTTCTTTTGTTTGTGAAATTCTGTTCCAACAATGGGAATACCAAAGGTATTTTAAAAATCCGAACCCCACACAGGTTTAGGTTCAGTTTTATTTAAGTCTAAAAAGACACCAGTAGATCTTCTCCTTCCTATGACTGAACTTTTCCCCTTGCTCACCCTCCTATTTGCTGACAAGCCAAGTCGGGCTCAATTCAGCCTTTGTCCCTTGGTATCACGGCTGCCACCTTCTGGCCGCCTGCACTGAGGGTGCTCCTCTTTGAAAAGCCGCACACCAGAGGACCCAGTTCAGCTTCTCCAACCTTCCATCTCTTTAGAACTCCGGGTCTAAAGAACGTGTCCGAGGCTAGCTCCTGCTGATTTCAGTTTTTACATTAAAATCATTTTACCCTTCCTGTCCTCCTTACCCAAATTCCCCTGTAGAGACCACATTCTCACTCAGTCTTTGTTTAGCTAAGCAAAGTAAAACAAGTCATTCTGACCACAAACCCTTTGTCCTGCCATCTCCCCCCAGTTCTCTCCTACAGTCACGTACGACTTGTTCCTGTGGTCTCTAGAACTTGGGTGAAGCTTCCCAGAACTTCTTGTAGAGATATCTAGGATTTTAGGACTCGAAGGACAACTTTCAAGATACATCTATAATTGCCCCTAGTAAGCACTTGACTATGAAATGTGTAATGATTAATGGGAGTAATACTAGTTGAATACATGCTTAGGCATGATAGAAGAGAGTGTGGGTCAAAGCTGGCAAACGTTGCAGTAAAGGCTAGCAGAGACAAATAACAAACATGCTGAAGTACCTCCAACTTATCAGCTGATCTTAAGTATCTGTTAAATCCCGAACTCAAAATATTTTTATTTAATATCCTACTGATTGGTAAAAATGAAATGACTCCAACGCAGCTTGCTAGCAAAGCCCAGGATGAAGTGCAGAGAGCACTCTGATTTACTGGACTGCCTGAGAGAACACAACCACTTTTACCTGTGAACTGTCCCTGACCCTTGGCTTTTGCACCAGCCCCTGGCTGCTAAGTGTCAAAAGCTCACCATGACAGAGTCAGGAAGCGAGCTATACCTATTGCTGAGAAAGGAGTCGATTCTGTCAAACAAGGACTATACCCACATCTCTGAAGGAGGAGGAGGAAGCATCTGCTTTATTGGTGCTGGTAACCATCTACGTCTGAAGTACCGCCTTCCCCACGCTGTTGGAGCAACAAAGAGCAGTCTGCTCCATTTCTTACTCTCCTGGTTCTTCCAAGAGAGAAGCGGTCTGCTACACTGCTCTGAGCTACACCATGTTTGTTTGTTCCTCTTTCTCACTGGGTAGCTGCTAAGCCTGCCTCTGCTCTTGGGCAGCTTTCCCAAGCGGAACGTCGAGATTTCTTGGCAGATTTGCTGGTTCCATATAGTTCCGAGCAGCAGCTGCAAAAGCTTGTCAACGTGACTGCGCTGCTGGCTGCCCGATTTTGAACAGTAACTGCACCAGAGTTTATCTGCTGGTTGAGGGAGAGCATTCTTTAGCTACCATCTTTACAGCAGTACTGAAGAGAAATCAGAGAGAGGGAGTACTCCATGAATATATAGCACTGACCCCCACATTTTAAGCTACTCATCATCAGTGATTTTTTCATCATTGGAAAGTTTTATCCAAATGATCGTAGATAACATCCCCCCTGTTGAGCCTGACTTAGCCATACATGAGCAGTTAACAGACAGGAAGAGCTTCCACAGGAGAGAAGCTACAAAGATGTTACAGTCCATGTACAGTCTTGTTCCCACCAACCCCTCCTTGTAATTAGTAATTCCCACTGCTCTCCTAACTGAAAAAGTAAACGACGCTGTCAGACAGACTGCATCTCCCCTGTAAAGTGCACCTTTGGGCTACAGAACACAACCAGTTTTCTTCTACAAAGCGTATTATTTCAGATGATACTTGGTTGGTACTTACAGCTCGTGCTGCTAGTGTCATTAGTACTCCTGTTAAAAATGTTAAATAATATCCTGGGTAAACCCCGTGCCAGATGGCGGAAAGGATGAAGGTTTGGATCGTTGGGCTGAAGGTGGCTCGCTCGTAGCACACTCTAGCAAGTCAAAGACAATTCAAGACAACGTGAAACAAATCACCAACAACTTTACCCATTACCATCTGTCCATTTATACTTTTAGCAATTTCACCTCCAACACATCATTTGCAATGCAACTGCAGTTTACTATTATTTAACAATGTTGCTGCTACTGACCTGCAGAAAATACGTAAAGCTACTCACAGTCCCCAATGTAACCCCTCAGTGCTACCCAGTGCCATCACAGAGGGTACTCATTTCTAACCAAGTGATAAACACGCACCTGAAGATGGGTGTTGGATGGCTCAACCCTTATTAAGGCCAAGAACGTGTTTGAAAAGCTACGATGGACAGCACAGTCTACCCCGCAAACTCCTGCAATGGGTCAGGTACACAAACATTTCATAAAGGAAAGCAGCTTATAGAAGGAGGGGAAGACTAACAGCTACCTTCAATGTTGAGTAACAGAGACTGAAAACTTGTCTGTGTAAGGCAATTGGGTGAGCACAATGATGAAATTATAATTAATGAATCCAGGAATGTGAGAATTATCAAATAAGGAAAATGCTGAACTCTGCTATTTAAAAACCAAGATTCTGAACTATTAGGCGAGGTCCTAAAGCGAGGATTTCTAGAAGGAAGAAGGGAAAAAGGAATCCAAGAAAGGTAGTTTCTAGAAGACAACATCAAATGACACAGTGACAAACCATCATGATGTGGAAGAATGATAGGAAACATGGTAAGGTCCTGATATGGCTTCATCAAGAGTTCTGTAATGTCTGTAATGATCTGAAAACCAAAAAGCAATAGGAAATATGGAAACAGATGCACACTAACATGAATCAAAAATAAACAGCACAAGCATGCATGAACACAAATCTAAGGCTAGCAGACAAAAATGAGTTTTAACTAAAAGAGGCCATAGATACCAGCGTGTAAAAAGGGTTTATAAACATACAGCAAGTGATGGAGAAAGAGAAGAGAATGCACATCTATCATCCGAAGAAGACAACAAGCTGATGATAGAGGGGGCCAAAGCATTCACTACTAACGTAACTACTTGACTACAACTTCTGTATATACGCAAGACAGCTGAGGCCAAGTGATACACTCAGTGTTAAGAAGGTAAAGAGGCAGGATCTGATAGAATAATATAGTTTATTCCAGACATAAGTTTTATCCCTCAGTGCAGGGTGCCAGCACAGCCCTCTCCCCCTGCCAAAGGGCTTTGCTAACCACGCCCGTTAAGATGAGAATATGAGGCTAATGCGTAGTACGCAAAGCCCGAGTACACATCGGTGGACATTTGCCCCAAACTGACCACCCTAAAGACAGCTTCACTGGCCAGAATAAACAGTAAGCAGTGAATTCCAAAGAGACTTTTGAGACAAAAAAAAATTAAATCTGTCAGCCTAGAAAGTGCAAAAGCACTAGGAAAATTTGTAACAAGTCCAGGAGACACCTTGGAGCAAAATACCAGTCATCAACCCTGGGGTGACACTGCCAGGAGTCGCTCCGCCAGCATCAGCCCGTGTCTGGGCCAGGACAGAGCATCCTCCCTGGCAGCCAGTGAGCAGCCTGCAGCCGGCTGGGAGACTGGCAGCGCGGCAATCAGTACCCAGGGAGCAGTATCTCACCCCTACCAGCTGCAGGCACACAAACTCCTGCCAGGCTCTAACTGCATGTGGGTCGGCAGGGTCACAGAGAGCTGGAGCACCCACATCTGCATCACGCAGCGCCTACTAGTGGGGGCCCCTCACTTCCAGAATGGGTGGGTTCTTGTATCCCACGTCCTCGGGACTGGAGGCGCAGTTTGCGTGTAACACGCCTGTGCATGTGATCTTCTTTGAAACTCCTTGGGATTAGTTACAGAAGAGTGTTTAGAAACGTTTATTAAACCAAACACCAAACATGTACAAAGTGTTACCTGTTCTAGCACTGATATTAAATCAGAAAGTGTATTTCACTGACTGGTGGTTAATTATGTCTCTTTAACAAATTGATAAATTCCTTCAATCTTTATCTGGTTCGAAATACTTTAACTAAGCAAATTTTCCCCTGCAAAGCATTCAGGAACTAACAAAACCAAATTAACTAACCAAATTTCAGTTATATCAATGCAAGTCAGATAAGACATATACTAGAAGAAAAGTTATCAAGCTTCAATTTCAAAGAGTAAAAGGTGAGCTTAAACCCCTCCATGGATTTGTCAATAATAAGTGAAGCATTTCAGTGTGATTTGACATTCCCAAAAGCAAACCAAGGAAATATGGTCATCACAACAGGCTGAGAAAATCTATTCAAATTTAAGATTCAGGTTATCTTATCCATAATTTGCCCCAGAAGTGGGAAGATGCAGGCACTGCCTTTGGTCTGGTTTTATACTTTTACTACTAGCTTGGGTAGCAGACTGATAAGTATATTTTTCCATCCTGCCTCCCCCTTCCTTTTTTTTTGGGGCGTGTGTGGACAGAGAGAGCAGAATGATGAAGATCGTCATTTTTTCCTGAACAGAGCACTAGAATACAAAATGATGCTGACAGAATTGTTGATTTCAGAGCATCATTCGAGACTACATCCATGGTATAGGACATCTAGTAAAAAAAAAATGGAAGATGCAAAAGAGCCCCCATCCCTGTAACATCACCAAAATGTGTAGCTGAGTGGGAATATGAATGAGCAGTATGAAACACCGAGTATCAGCTGAGCATGAATCAACCATAGATTGCTGCTGCAGAAAAGACAGATCACAGAATCACAGAATAGTTTGGGTTGGAAGGGACCTTAAAGCCCATCTAGTTCCAACCCCCCTGCCATGGGCAGGGACACCTTCCACTAGACCAGGTTGCTCAAAGCCTCATCCAGCCTGGCCTTGAACACTTCCAGGGATGGGGCATCCACAGCTTCTCTGGGCAACCTGTTCCAGTGCCTCACCACCCTCTCTGTCATACTGTGATGCATTAGAGCGCTCTCTAAAGAGAAGAAAGATAATTAATCCACTCAAATCATTCAACTCTGTCTGTAACAAGCCAGGGAAATATCCTGGAGGTCTTCGCAGAAGGACTACAACCACTCTTAAGATGGCAGGAAGTTTGGAACTATGACAGAAGAGAGCAACCAGAACCACAGAGGTTTTGTAAATATGACCACAGACAAATGGAAAGAGGTATTTTCTTTGGAAAAAGAGGAAGGGACAGGCTGAGGGGAAATGTAACAGCTTCCCTAGTCAGGAAACATTACCATGATATCTATTGTTGATGAATGCTACTAAGTAAATGTTTTACCTTGCAAGCTTGTGACAATAACACCTCTGAACTGCTGTATTTTGTGATCTACATGAAGTGTTTGTTAAACTTCTTGATGATCCGTAGATCCATTAACCCTACTTTTACAAGGAGTTTGCTTTCACACAATCAGGGTTTAAGTCCTGTAATTCTGATGATTTGGTTTCTCTTCAGAGAGTTTCAGAAAACAACAGAACAAATGTTGATGTTCGGTATTTCATGCAAGATAAATGCTTAAGGCATCAGGTACTTCTACAAATGGTAAACAAGCGAGGCATTAAAAGTGGAGGTTTAAAGCAACACGTGAGCTTGTCCTCTATGCAAACTGCTGCAGCTATCCTCAGAGATTCTTCTACAATTGGTCTTAGAAATATTTTTAAAGGAGATGCTTTAATTTTTCTTACATCTTCTTTTAATGTCACCCTGAGCAACTGACGTCCATCTTTTTCTTTCCATTCTTAACAAAAATGCTACTCTTCTTCAGTAAAAAGAGTTTTCTTTTAGAACCATTTAGGAGATCTGAAAGTCTGTTGAAACACAACCTTTTCCTATTAGGTTTTAATATTGATAAACTTCTGTTCTCTAACTAACTTAAAATGCATTTTAAAACAGCTAAATTGCTTATTTGCTTTATTACATGATCCATTTCAATACCTGCAAGCATGCAATTCCTCCCTGCTGACTATCCTAGGCAGAGATTCTATTGCCTACTGAGCCAACCAGAATAATCAGAAAATTCCATTTCTGTTTTCAACTGAGTCAGACAAATACTTAGGGAAGGAATTATGGAAGAAAGAATACACTATGAAGAAATTCAATGGAAGAAACATGCTGTTTCCAACAATCCTAGGATAAAATTCCTGAGTGATCCCAAGATGGAGCTGTCTCAGTTAAACTGCAGCTATTGATAGCAAGACCAACTAAACAGACCGAGAAGGGAAACACCTTCCCCACACTCTTCAAGAACACTTTTTTATTTTCTAATTACCACGGTGTAGTAGAAGCAGGATGATGTCGTTCACTGGGCACTATACCTCTTTCCCAGGCAAGGAAGAAAGTGCATCAGGGGGATATTCATTTGCAATTTGCGTTGACAGCACAGTGCAGGGTGTGACATTTGCCATCGACTCGTTATGGAAGGGGCGCAGAAAGTTCTCTCACAGAATGTATGGAAGTTCCTGTATCACTGTGCAGCTAAAAATAACGCAGAGCTTCCGCAGGCTGAGACACATGTTCTGCCTGCTGCTCTCAGCAACACGCACTACCTTGAAGGCCAAGAGAAAAAGAGAAGGTTGTAGGTTCCCTATGGGCAGTGAAGAAAACTGGTTTCCACCATAACCTGATAGTTTACACTAAGAGAGAAATCCTAAATGCAGAGGCTTTAATTCAAGTGCTACAAGAAGAATGTGCAGGTACTAAATACCCAATGGTTTGTGGGGTTTAACTTTAAATGTTAAATCACCTTCGAAGCAATGTTTATCTAAGAAACTTCAGTGGAGTAAATCTTTCCTTTAAGAAATAAATACCTTTTGAGCCACAGAGCTGTTTGGATATTCCAGTTATCAAGAAACATCTTGAAACTTGTGGAAAACTGTAAAGTAAAGAAAAAATTAATTATCTCTGTAATTGTAAAGTGTTACAGAGTATTTCAAAATTCTGACATACAAATTACAAGACAACCCCAACTCCGTGATGAGTTGAATATGGTATTTACCCAACTACTTAGAATCCCCAAATATACTACAAGTCAACTGGGAAGTAGAACATAGTCAAACAGACTATTTTCCATCCTCTCCTAAGAGCGTGAACACACAATTTCTTACTTAGAATATATCCACTATCTCAAGAAAAGAAAATACATAAGCAAAGTTACCAGGACTACAAGCAGCTACCCACATGGGCATGGTTGTTATTTGAAAGACCCAGAAACAAACCTCTATTTGCTGGATTCTCAGATTTGATATTAGATCCCAACGTGTAACTCCATTTTTATCGTAGCCTCTAAAACCAAACCCTGCTGCATTATTAATTGCATCTGCTGCAATGAAACAAAAAGAAACAAGTCAATTATAAACTGCATGTATTACAAAAATGGTGCATCACACAACATCTACTTTCTTCAAAACATTTATCATATTTTAAAGGCTACATAATTTTTTATTTAACTACTGAGCATCATTGTATTTGACACTTCAAACAAACAAAATAATCCGACCAACACCCCAGCTCTCAATAAAAAAACTTGTGCAAAACCAGAGGAATGAAAAGTAGCACTGTCTGCTTCACAGTACAGACGTCCCCTCTCTCACACCACCTACTCAGACTTGCTTGAGCAGTCTGACAGAAAAACAAGCTCAGTGAGGTGCATCAAGACTACGAAACAGTGGCTGCAGGTGATGATTCCAGATAGTAGTTCAGCGCTCCGAGGCATGTTCTTGCTCTTCGTTCTGCAGGGGTGACGTTTAAAGCATAAAGATACACCGCACCATTCACTTCGAGCAGGTGCCCGGTGACAGCACCACAGAGAGCAGTGCAAAGCTAGCAGAAGACAACAGCAATTTACTAAGCAATGCAGGCTTAGACAGATTTCCACTAATGGCACAAGGCCACTGTTAGTGACACTTCTGAATGCAAGTGTTCACAGTGCGTGTCAAAGCTCAAAGAGTTCAAAGCAAACATTACTTGTCCCTCAGAGAAAAAGCTGCTGTCGTCATCTAGACTATGTAAGAAAATACAAGGGACCTCAGTCTGAACAGCGCCTGGCACTTTCAGTTATCACCTTTCCTCAGCTTTGTCAGCTCAGACACTAATTAGGATGGCCACTTACACCGAAATGAGATGTTCTTCCAAGTATTGCCACTGTTGAGCCAAACACTGGATGGCATGTACCCAATCACGGAATGGTTAGGGTTGGATGTGACCGTA